CAATTAAACATCAAATCAATCACATTTATAGATTGTTACATAATTATACATTTATACGCACCTATATAATTTATTTATGAGCATATATTATAATATATTAATTATAGGCACCTAATACCTACTTATATAATTTATTAATACAACAGTATGATATGATACTGCTTCACTGCGATGAGTTATGCATTATAAATGTGGCTTGTTACTGTTTAAATTGCTTGTCCTGTAATGTAAACATCTATGATTTTTACTGACTATACGTTCCAATTACTATTTTTTTTCAAAATGGTAGGTATACTATAATGTGCCCAGGATGATAACAAGGCATTTTTGATGTCGGCAGATCGAAGCATTCTGATTTAAACTAAGCATAAACAGACTGATAGAATTAATTATAAATATAGGTAACTAAGTAGGTAGTAAGTACCTACATAGACACATAGTTATTCACTGTACACAATTATTATACATGTGTATTCAAAACTAATTTTGTATCACAAACCTTTATTTATAAAAAAACTTTTATGTTAAGTATATAATCTTTTTACACCTATGAATGTTATTTATTTTATGAACCTACCTATCTAAGTCAAAAATATAATTCTTTTCCATCAAACCTATTCCTTTATATATAGTGTTTACTATATGAATATATTAGTCTACCACTAGACGACTGAACAATATAATATAGATCCTCCTCGACTTACTATAATCAACGAAATAAATTATTTAATAAGATAAAAGGCTATAGTATAATATATTAATACATTATACATTTCACAAAGCATAGAATATAGATATTTTATCTTTACTAATTTACGACATATACCCCTTTCGTTTTTAAAACTTGATTTAGGTACACTACACATATATAAGTAATTGCTTAATATGATTAAAAATGCAATAAAATTGCTATAATAAACAAAATGTGAATATATTTTCAAAATTCGAAGGGTTGGGCGGAATTTTGGTCTAGCGGCGAAACGGTGGCGGCGAAACGGTGGCGGCGAAATGTCCGGCGGCGAAACGGTGGTGGCGAAATGTCCGGCGGCGAAACGTCCGGCGGCGAATCGGTCGGCGGCGAAACGTCCGGCGGCGAATCGGTGGCGGCGAAATGTCCGGCGGCGAAACGGTGGCGGCGAAATGTCCTGTGTTGCTGTTACACGTGAGTAGTATATATATACCATTCCTGGCGCACCTCATAATATATCAGTAAAAGATCACAAAGAAAACAATGTGCAATAAGATCAGAAAATTGAAATGCAATAATAATTAAAATATTTTTCGCAAAACTTATGAAATGAAATAATAATAAAAATATTTTCCGCAAAACATAATTTTTAATAATTAAAATCGAAATGCAATAATAATTAAAATATTTTTTAATAGAATTGTTCTATTAAAAATAAAAATCGAAATGCAAAAAAAATGTATTAAAAAAAAATTGAATACCTGAGTTAAAGGAATTGAAATTTATAATAAAAGAATGGAAACTATAAAAAATTTTAATAAGGTACAAGAAAATGAAATGCAAAACGAAATAGAAAAATCAATATTAAATAATGAAATTTTTGTTAAGTTCTGTAAATATGAATACTTTAATACTAATAATAAAAAAAATATTAAAATCATGAAATATAATCTAAATAAAATTCCAATTAAAGGAAATATTTTAATTGTCGATCATGGACACAATATTTCTGGAAATGGAAAGCCTTATGCTTCTAAAATACTAGAATCGCCAACATGGCTTGAAATTTGTAAAATAGCTAATGATTTAATGAATACAACCGGTACTTATTTTTTAAAATATCTCCATGATATTTGTGTTGTTCAAGATTTAGGAAATATTAAATATGTAGTCTTAGCATGGGAGGTACAGATGCCGATCATAAGATGCTTAGAATATAATAATAATAATATAGTTAAATTTTTTAATAGAATTGTTCTATTAAAAAAATGTTCAATATTTAACGCTCACCCGAAAAGGGGACGGGTTATTAAAATCCAAAAATCTTTAAAAACGATTTTACACTATGATATTATGAGGGGGACTTATAAAGAATTAAAATCAAAAATGTTTAATGTAAAAATGAAGATTCTAACATAAAAAGCAACGGAGTTATACTTAAATGAAAAATATGAAGCGGGGGGTAAAATTTTAATATGTAGTGTAGATAAGCATATAAAACATATCTGTGTTGATCCGACTTGATAATATCAAATATTAAATGAAATATAGGACATATACGATCGCGTTATTTTTTAATATTTTTAATAGAAATATGGAAAAAAATGCAAAAAATCTACAAAATCATTCCCAGCTTTGCAGATACCCGTTAGGAAAAAAGGAGGCCGGAACTCTTTTACAGATATCTGCAAAGCTATCGTGGGAGGTGAAGTTACCCAAGCGCTTTATCCAGCAGGTCAACGACAGTTTTTCAGTAGATTGCATAGGTGTGTGCACCCACCTATACAATCTACCGTAAACGTCTTCAAAGCCTGATGAAATTAGTAGGTGAACATGGGCGCCACACATTCTCCCACCAGTTTCAATCCGACCAAGAACACATTTTAAATCAAACGCGTTACCGACTGAGCTACAACACTTGGGCATGTATAATGATTATTTAAACACTATTTAAATAATTCGATAAAAAAAAAACATCATAATATAAACTATACATATATATTATGATAAGATATTCAATACCGGATGTTAAAAAATAATTAGTCCAACGTTGATATATATACAATATTATTATTATTATTATTATTATTATTATACCACACTGTATAGGTACTATAATATTATATATAATACTTCGTAAGTATTATATTCGATTTACATTTTCGAAGTTTAAAAATAATCAGTCTAGCTCCATATTATTATTATTATTATTATTATTCGAATCATGTAATTCCTCTTGTATTAATTTACGTAGTTCGTTAAGTGAAAGTTTAATTTCATTATAATTTTTGTTTTTAATAAAACTTAAAATATTTTCGAAACAACAATTACTAATGAAATGGAAGTTAAATGATTTTAATTGATTATGTTTTTTGTAATAAACATATTTTGCAACATTTTTGTAACAACAATTTTCCAATATTTGATTCCATAATATATTACTAATTTCAGAATCAATATTGTTCAGTAAATACTGAACGTATGTAATATATTATCTCTAAACCCAATTATTATCATTAGTATTATTATTATTGTTTTATGGTAATCAAGTTGATTATTATTATTCTTATTGTTAAAATGTGTATTATTATGATAGCCGCTTATCGGACGATACCGTTTGTTTTTTTTTTTGTATTGTTGTCTTATTAGAATTATATCTAAAACCAGTCAGTCGTATTCCATGTGTGTACACATACGTGCACCAGAAGTATGTATTCGTGTTGTTTTTTTGTAAATTATTATTGTAAATGAAACAACTTTAAATCATAATGTAAAAATACAGTCCACTACTAATATATTACTAATTTCAGAATCAATATCAATATCAATATCACTATTATTAAATATAGGTCTTAGGATTTTACGTTGTTGTTCAATCATATTTAAAAGTGTTTTCATATTTTCCATTTCTATTATTTATATTAGTAAATATTTTTTTTTAACACCGAATTATTAAAACAACGAGTTGTTAAAAAACAACGTTAACGTAAAAGAACAACGTCAACGAGTTAACGTAAAAAACAACGACTCGTTGACTCGTTTACTCGTTAACTCGTTGTTAAATATATATTAAACGAGTTGTTATTTTTTAATAGAAATATTTCTATTAAAAAAATAAAATATTTAAATAAATTTTTTATAATTTTCAATAAATTCTAAACATAAATGACCACATATAGGTGCCCGGAGGCGGCTTCCCCAACGCCCGGAATCGAGGCAAACGGGCAGCTACGACAAAGATGCACCACCACAAATACAGTCTTTCCGCCGCAGGCGGGATGACAAACGCCAGAATCTAGAAAAGAGGTTGAAAATCGAAGCATTATTTCGACTACTTATAGTGCACACAGACACAAAAAAAAAAAAAAAAAACACATCATTGTAAAATCAATACATTCGTCGTTCCACTCAGAATCTAAAAAAAAACTGAAACAACACATTCGGGTGTGGCGTCATCTCAAAATATTGAAATTTCATAAAAATAGGGTGAAGACCTTCTCTGACGACTGACAGGGATTTCTTACTAAATATTATCTCTCTGAAATTTAATTAAATAATAAATATACTTACGCTGGCGTCTGTTGGAGGGTACTAAACCCAGTCTTGTTAAGTATTCGAATACTTGTATTTAAATACTTTTTTTGTATTTTAAATACTTTTCAAATACTTTCGACCCGTGTATTTTTAAATACTTTAAAAATACTTTTTTTTTTTGTATTTTTATTCGAGAATACTAAATACTTTTATTCTAGTGTTCAACTCGAAATTTCAATAATTACAAATTTTTGGTAATATACTATATTAAATTTTGTTTCTAAAATATTATTCTATTATTCTATAATGATAATAGTTTTGACTAATGACTGTCTTAATGAGAATTTATAAATAAGGTTTCCCCAAAACACAATCAGATAAGTGATAACAGAATGACTGAAACCCCCGTCTGCTCCTCTCTACCATAGCATACGGCCATACGGGACACAGACCACCATTGGTTATATTGGTTTTTATCTAGAATCTATTATTAGTTATAATTTCAAGTTGTAATAACAATAATACAATATTGTAATATAAGTATAAATATAAGATTGGTATTACTTATTATATTATTATAAGAGCTGATAATAAAATATTAAAGGCTTTTCTCATCGATCGTAATATTTAATTTACCAATAATATTTTGTCATATTGACATATTGTAGGCAACTTGCAAGCAGACAACAGCTAGTTTCCTTTTGTGATTAAATTTTTGTGATTAAGACATTAAGTAGTAGACAGTAGGTAGTTCAGTAGTATTATTTAACATACTATCATGAGTGAAATGGAGGAAAATTGTAATTTGGATGATCCAAGACCACATGTGAATATTAGTTTGCCATGGCCTGTTTACAATTCACATTTTAAAGTTAATAAAATACTTAACGATAATGACTATGATTTACACAAAACTTTTGAAGTTTCTTGCAATCATTGCGTTACAAGAAAAACTTTAACTGCGGATTCAAGATCCATGTCCAATCTTCGTAAACACTTAAAGGTAGGTATTATAAATTATTATTATGAATTATTGAGGTATTATTTTTTTTGTTTACTTATAAATAAATTTATAAATGATTGCGGGCAAGTCTATAACTTCTTATAAATATTAATTATTATACTAGGTATCAGAAAATAAGTTTTTTCAACATCTGTTTGATGTCAAATAAAAATATATTTTTATGAAGCTGGACATTTCTTATGTGTACTTATGAAATAAATGTATCATAGTTTGTTTTATTTTTACCAGAGTTAAGTTATATTAATATATCTCAGGAATAGACTATATAAGTCCTAAGTGTATAGACATTTAGTCTATACCCAGGTGGCCAGGTATATAAATAAATGTTTTAAATAGTAAATTCCTATAAGAGTTTATAATTTTCACAGCTTAAACATAGTCATGTAAAAACTGTAAAAGAACTACTGATGCCAAATATGAATGTATCTGTAAATTGTATAAGAAAAGAAATTGATGGAACTGATAAACATGACACCAGCATCGAATCAAATGTTAAAAAAATCAAATTTAACACAACACAGACATCTTTGAAAAGCTTCATACGTTCAAAAGATAATAACATAAGTTTAGTTTCTCAAGGTAAATATGTACTAGAGTAAATAAATATTTTTTGGATTAATTTTTTAAATCAAATTTATTAATAATTAGTTCTATATTTTAAACTGTAAAAAATATTTTACAACCAATATTTTGCTTAATAGATAAATGTTAAGAGCTGTTGCCTGTTTGTATTTGATAAAATGATTTGTGTAATTGTTCAAAACTATATAAGGTTTAAAAAAGGTGGGCAAGTGAATGTCGCTCTGCTGTACAGTAGGTTACAAGTGGGGCACTGTATAATGGATGGTATTAAATTTGAATTCAATGATATAATATCATTGTATAAGAAAAACGATTCTGAGCGGTGACGGTATGTCAGTCTATGTATAAGACATATTATATACATATCTATGGTATTAAACAAAAAATTGACCTATAATAGGTACCTATAATAAATTCCAAATTAATCATATCACAATATCCATTAGATACTTATAACACGTTATACATCAACAAAAACCGTGATACTATCATAGATATATAATAGTACACTTTAGAAGTTTCAAGTACCCACGAATAATATTATTCAATCAAAACAAAATAACTAAAATCGTAATTCTTGGTTTAAATATGAAATTTTGTCTAAATTTGAAATTAAAATGTCTGTAAAAAATAAGTGTGTTTATATATTTATTAGATTTTTTGGTTACAGTATGAATTATTTAAGAGAATCTTTGTTTTAAATGTTCAACTCTTAGTTATAAAAACTGAACATTTTATAATTTTTTAATTCCAACGATTGATAATTTTCGAGATTTTGATAAATTTTGTCAAAATTCCAACTTTAAATGCTTATAAAAAAAAATCGTGCCTATGTATTTTTAATATTTTTCAACTGCTATTGTAACAATATATCAGGAGCCTTGTATTACATTTTTACACTTTTTGGCCCAACAGATAAAACTTTATTGATATTTATAGAAAAAAAAACTAAAAAAAATTGAAAGCTGTAAATGTCCATAAACAGCTCAAAAAGAGTCAAAATATTTTCAAAATTGTATGGTGTATAGAAAATGCTAATTTAAACATTCAGTGGAATTTTCATGTATCTACAGTTGTTCGTTTTTGAATTGCAACAAAATAAGGAAATCGCTACATGAGTAATCGAGTGAAAATCCAATGTTGTAAAAATTTGAATTTCAAACGCTCATAAAAATTTAATTTGACTGTCCGGTAGAGATTTTTTTATTGATAAAGGTAGATAATCTTATAAGGAATCTTGTGTTTCATTTTCAAATCTTAGATTTAAAAAGAAAAATTTTTACGAATTCTTAACTCAAAATAATTTGCTAATTTTCGTGATTTTTCCATATTTTGTCAATTTTTGAACTTTAAATGCTTATAAAAAAAAATTGTGACTAAGGATTTTTAATATTTTTCATCTGCCTTCGAAACAACATATTAGGATCCTTCTATTAAATTTTCAAGCTTTCGCAACCAATAAATAAAATTTTATTGATATTTTTAGAAAAAAAACTAAAAAAAAATGGAAAATGAAAATGTCCCTAAACAGTTCAAAATAAATCAAAATATTTTGAAAATGTTATCGTGTATAGAAAATGCAAATATAAACAACCAGTGAAAATTTCATGTATATACGTTCATTTGTTTTAGAGTTACACCAATAACCAAAATCGATTTTTTGGAAAAATAATTTTGCGTAAAAATTCCCGTTTTTCCTTAATTTTTATGTTGTTTTTCCCGGCGCTTGTGAAAACTACTGTGAAATTTATACTTTTGACCTACCAAAGTACCAACTAGATTCACTTTCCTACCAGAAAAGCTACTGATGAAGAAAATCCAAGCATTTTTACTGTCCTAAAACGTGATGACAGACACAAAAATATAAATAAAAATATAAAAATATAAATAAAAATATAAAAACATACATCATTGTAAAACCAATACATTCATCGCTCCGCTCAGAATCTAAAATTGAAAAGTGACAATGTCCGTTAACAGTTCAAAAAGAGTCAAATTATTTTCAAAATGTTATCGTGTATAGAAAACGCCAATATAAACATTTAGTGTAATTTTCAAGTATCTACAGTCATTTGTTTTTTAATTACAATAAAATAAGGAAATCGTAACATGACATATCGAGTGAATATCAATTGTTGTAAAAATATGAATTTCAAACGCTCATAAAAATTTAATTTGACTTTCTTGTAAGCATTTTTTTTTTTTGATAAAGGTAGACAAATTTATGAGGAATCTTGTATTACATTTTCAAATCTAAGATTTAAAGATAAATTTTTTTTTGGATTTCTAACTAAAAATAATTTACAAATTTTCGTCATTTTTACGTATTTTGTCAATATTTGAACTTTAAATGCTTATAAAAAAAAATGTGGCTATGGATTTTCAATTTTTCTCATCTGACTTTGAAACAATATACTAGGAGCCTTTTATAAAGTTTTCAAGCTTTTTTAACCAACAAATAAAATTTTATTGATATTTATAGAAAAAAAAACCAAAAAAATGGAAACTTAAAATGTCCGTTAATAGCTCAAAATAAGTCGAAATATTTGGAAAATTTTATCGTGTATAAAAAATGCTAATATAAACATTCAGTAAAAATTTCATGTACTTAAGCTCATTTTTTTAAGAGTTGCACCTAAAACCGATTTTCTCGAAAACAGATTTTGCGTACAAATTCCCGTTTTTCCTTTCTGAAAAGAAAACCTAAGCATTTTTTTGTACTAAAAGGTGATGACAGATACAAAAATTAAAAATTAAAAAAAAACACACATCATTGTAAAATCAATATATTCAATGTTACGTGAGCTCATTTTATTATATATATATTGAAATTTTATGTTTAAAAATAATCTACTACATTTTCAAATCTCATGTATTAAAAATTTGAATTTGAACTCAAAATAATTTGCAAATGTTCACGATTTTGAAGAATTTTATCAAAATTCTAACTTCAGACATCATAGTAAAATCGTAAATCTATGCTCAATTTTTTTTTTTTTAATTGCACTAACTTATGTGGAACTTTTGTTATACATTTTCAAGTTTTTTTACAGAGGGAACAATTGACTTCTATTAGTGCTTAAGAAATGGCGGGGAGAAAACCGTGTATTGATTCAAAAATAGTAGAAGACGAAATTCTTAAATATAAGAATGATATTGTTGGTTCAAACAAGGAAAGTAAGTATTTTAAAAATAATAATTTAGAATTAAAATTTATTTGAATCTGTATTTGAAAAAAATTATCTTTTAGTTATCCCAGGACCTAAAGATCGTGTTTGGCAAACTATTGCATCCAGTTTAAATACAAAGTATGGTACCAAAATTAATAGTTCATCTATACGTGTACGTGTAGCGTATAATAGAAATGATTTGAAAAGCAAACTTGGGTTACTTCCACCAGTTTCATCCGCAAAAGCTATTTGTGCACCTCAAGATACAGATAGTGGTAATAGGATAGTATATTATTAGTTTATAATTATTATATCTATTTATTATTTCATATTAATATATAGTGAATGATTTTTAGATAAAGCATTTTCCGATGATTATTATGAAAGTGATACCGAAAAACATTTTGACAAACTAACATTTTCCATTACTTTTTCGGAAGAAGAATGGAAAGTCATTAAACCTCGTCCAAAAGTGTACAACGATAAAAATTTTTCTCGAACGTATTTAGTTTTGTCGACCTATGAATGGAGTAATATAGTTCAAGAACACTTTTTTCTACATTCTCGTTTACCATGTTCCATTTCATTTAAAAAAGCAAAAGTTCAAGAATCGGGAAATGTATTTGTGAGTGTACGTGGTCGATGTTTAAGTTGTGGTTCAATTTTTGATGGTACAATTGATGAAATACCTGCAATGGGTACAAGGTAGAGAATAAATTTTCAACATACTTCATAATTTACTCAATATTCAATGATTAAAACGTATTAATGTATTATATTTGTAGAGTACCTAAATGGTTTTGAATAAATACCAATCACTTGTATGTGTGTTATTCATTTGTACTTATTAGTTATTATATTGTCTTGCAAATACAGTTATAAACCATTTATTTTTAATAGAGCTATAATGAAATGCATTTACATCGGCTTATTTAACGAAGAACATAAAAACTCTAAGCGCCGTCGATTGATGGGGTCTGAAAAACAAAGAGCAATAAATGCAATGGTAAATTGTCACCAAAATCCATCAGTATATTATCGAACTGAAGCAAATCGTTTGTTGGTAGAAGGTGAGAAATAATAAGTATCTAGAACTAACATATTATTGTATACCTTCTGCATTTTGAGGATGTAACATGAAGACCTGAAAAAATATTATGCTATTTAATCTATGGCAACAATTATGAAAATTAAATGATTATTAAATAATTTAAGACATTTACTCATGTCAGGAAATTCCCAAATATAATATGTTGAAAAAAGTTATTATAAATATTGATAAATTAAAGAAATTCTAAAAAATAAAATACTTGACTTCAATATATGTTTTTACCAACAAAATTGTAAAGTACAAGTCAGAATATAGTTTTGTTTGATGATGAAACAGAAGAACAACATTTCGAGGGAGATGATTCATTGGAAACTGATTTACAAAATTTTGATTTATCTAATTCATTTCGTGACTGGGCAAAATCAGTTAGTACAAAATGTGAAGCACAAATCAGTGGAATAGAAGGTGAATTCGACAATGCTCAGTACACTCCAGACATTGTTCCACTCATAATAGACATAATGAAACTTTCCCCTTGTTGGTCAAGCATAATGCTAAATGTATTTGGATATGGTGAGGATATAGCTACAAGTAGCAGAAGTGAATCCAATTTTAATAACATTAAAACTAGAGTCTTCAACAATGAAAACATGCCTGTCAGAATTGATGACTTTGTTGGTAAATTGGTCGACTACTATAGGGGAGATCAATTAATAATACAAACAACAAACCATGAAAAACACAAGAAATTATTTCGGAAGACAATAGGTCCTTTACACTATCTTCTTCAAATGACAAATTGGAAAAAGAAATTGACAAATATTTAAATTCATGCGATCCATGTAAAAATGGGCATTTTCCAACTGGACTCCATCATTGTTGTTTATGTAAAAAGGCAATACATTTATTTGGATGTTCCGTTCAAAACCCTCACAGTGAAGAAAGATGCGGTGAAACTAGAATTTGTTTAAGTTGCTATGAAATGAGTGAATTATGTAACGAAAATAATTCAATAGAGAATTGGAAGAATAAAGGAAAGTCGTCAGAAAAGAAGCGTTCCGCTAAATCATATTTAGAGAAACAGCCAGGGTTCGAAAACGTCGATTTAAATAAAAAAGGTTCTATAATTGAAATCGCTTTTATTAAAAATGGTTCCACTTTTAAAAATAAGCCGATATTTGTACATGGTTTCGAAAAAGTGTTACTCAGTAATACTTGTTCTGCAGACTCAATATTATCAACTTTAGTAGTGTTTGCTGCAGAAAGTAGTTTATATCATAAGTATTTATCTGAAGACCAAAAAAAAAAACAGCACAGCTAAATTTATATTACAGATGTTAGATAACAAAAATTATAAAGAATTATATGTGGAACGAGTTTATTTATTGGCTCTCACTTATATAACAACATCAGAAGATTTGCTTGGTAACATACAATTGATTGACACTGTGGATACAGCAGCTTCAGCATGTGAAAAGTTGTTGGAAAATATGCCTTCATATATACGTGTAAACTGTTGTACAAATAGTTTGTGTTTTGAACCGGAATATACAAACGATGTGTTGCAATCAATTGTAATTGTGACAGATTGGTAAAATTCAAACTAATGAAACATATTGTTGTGGAACTAGTATCAATACCTAAAGGTAATAATATAAATATTAATTACATATTAATTAATATTAGTAAATTAAAAGTGGTAATAAGGTATTTAATTCACAGAAAAAATATTTTATTTATAGATTTTGAACGATCAGTTGACTATGCTGTGTTGGTTATCTGGAAACTTGATGACGTTCCAAAACTATTAAAAATCCAAGGTATAACATTTTATTTACGTGGCATAGTGGCTTTTAATGATTCAAACAAATTCAACCTAAGAAATCCGGTTGGTCATTACATTGCATACTGCTACAGATCAAATAGGACATGGGAGTGTTATGATGATACCAAAGAGGAAATGAAAATATGTAAACCAAACACCATGGTAAACATAGAACTTTTATTTTATACATTGTAAGCTAATTTATGTTTAAGTTCAATATGTTGTATTTCTTTATTTCTAAGTATAATATTTCATAATATTGTACAAATGATGTTGACACTTTAACAGTAACGTTAAATATTGTAATATAATATGTAATATATATAAAATAGTGTTAAAAATGTATTTTAAATCATCCATTGAGGAAAACTGGCCCGATTTGGCTCATTCTTTTTTTGTTGTGTTTGTAATTGTCAGGACATGGTTCTTATGAAAGACAATTTTAGGAAAATCCACCGGAAAAACAGGAAACGTCAAATATACAACAGTGGCGTCATTTGTCCAAAAGAAAATAAACTAAATAATAAAAATATTAAAAGTGGCATTCAGGGACTGCCGCGATAAAGCTATTGCATATTAAATAAATAAGAAGTTGATATAATTTTAAATTTTTTTATTATTCTATTTATTCAGGAATTTGTATCATAGAAACTATAGTTTATGTTTTTATTGCTATAATATATTATATTTTATATATATTATTATATATTATATATTTATATAAGTATATAAATTTATTGCTATAACAAAACCATTATATTTATAAGCGCTTGATGTTCATAGTCGTTGTTATTTAAAAATAAATAACTGTTATCAAAATTAAATTATAATTTAGCTATGCGTTGCTATGGTCACCAGGTTGCTATAGTATGTATAAATAAACAAAGTGGTCACGCTTTTTCGTAACGAAAAATTTTTTTTCAGTCACTACACCAGACCTGCGATAAAAGCTATGCAATAGCTTAAAAAAATTGTTTATTATTGCAGATTAAAATAATAATAGTGTATTATAATATTGGTTAATCGGGCATGTTGATTTGTATAATTGTATTATTATTTTTTGTCAATATAATATATTATAATATATTAAATATATATATATATATATAAATGAATGTTTGTGTGTAGAAGATAAGCTAATTTAAAAAGGGGTTAAATTTGTTTTTATTTTATTCATCGGATTTTAGTATGGTTAGGCAATAAGTTATATTTTAGGATTTTGTATTAATGGATTATATTAATCTAAATTAATCCACCATAGGTGGAATGAAGTAAAAACGACAAACATGGTATAACTTTGATACTTTAGAGTTAAATCATACACTTCATAGGCGTGCGCACAGGGGGTGTCTGGGCACACCGGACCCTTTACCAAAAACGACAAGGGCCCTAATTGTTAATAAAGTGTAAACCTAACCATCAATTTAGGGAGACATTTTGTGTTACAAATACCAAATCTTGAGTTACAACTTATTACAAATTGGTTACTAATTATCTAAAAAAAAAAAACAACTCCAAAAAGTGTCTTTAATATTAAAGTAGTTTTTGTAATATTTTCGTTCATTCTATCAATTGATGACGAATGAGAATGTGTACACCTGATAAATACACCATGTTGTATAAATACATAAAATATTAAACCTTAAATCGTGGTAGTATCTTGGTAAAACAAGGACATATTAATTATTTAACCTCAAGTTCATAATAACATGGCTTGATTAACAAAATATAATTATTTGAAATCATAGTTAACTCATTAGTCATTACTCACATTCACATAGGTATTTAAATCAATAGGCATTAAAAATTAAAATAATAACTTTTGTCAATAAAACATAATAAATATTAAATACCCAGTAGGTTCCTATAATCATGATAGTTTAGTATTATATAAATAATACTACAAATAATAAATTAAAATACTTACCTTGCAATAAATAGTATATTATTTAATTATTAAACATTTAAAACTTGTTCAAAAATCAAAAGTAACATAGGTTATCTCTATTTTTATAAAACAATACCATGGAATAAATCTTCAGTGTAAAAGTATGAAATTTAAATTTCGGGTGCTAAGCTGAAGTCAACCCAACACCCCTAACACTGGACCGTCAATTCAAGGGATGCAATTTATTTTACAAATTCCAAATCTTGCGTTTCAAATTATTACAAATTGTTTACTAATTTTCTAAACAAAAGAAAGTGTGAAATTTGACTTTTAACGACGTCAGCTCAGCACCCCTAACACTGGAACGTCGATTTAAGGGTGAAATTTTGTGTTACAAATTCCAAATCTTGCGTTACAAATTGTTGCAAATTGTTTACTAATTATCTAAAAAAAAAAAGTACGAAATTTCAATTTCGGGGTGCCATGCTGACGGAGCTGCCAAATTCGGCCTGTATATCTGCTGTTATCCCACTACTGATACCGTGCAGTATGGTGGGTACTATGCTTGATTTGTTCTTGACTTTCTTGACTTTCTAAACTGCATCTCGTGTATTTGGTTATGCTAATTCATATTGGGAGTTTACGTTCTGATTAATGTTTATATCGTAGACATAAACTTTGCCGTAGGTTACATTTAAAGTTGTAAAATGTTGGCTGTCGTAGAGTTGATTTGGTGACCCGTGCTCTGTACGCAACTCTTATCACTAGTGATAATATTATTTATTTGCATTTTAACTGATGGATTTTAAGTTATGGTACATATATGAATATTACATGTGACTAATTGATGCTTAATTAGTCACATTACGCTTACGCGCATTGTCATCCCGATTTGTCATTAAGTTTCAACGGTGTACCGATTATGTGCTGTAGGTAACACGACATTCATACTAACGCATTCGGCCTCCGCCAGATAGCGTGAGCTATTTCAAAAGACACTCGTTTTGTCTCGTTACAAGATAAATTCTATAAATTACAGATAAACAGGAATATTGAATTTAAAATCTAGTCGGAGTATAATATTGTGTCATGTAATCAAAAATAATGGGTTGTGATTATGGCATGATATTATATCCCGAACAAGATAGAAAAACCATCGAAATCAAAAGTTAGAGTCGATCGACATATGATACGGTGCATAATGATCTAATGATATTGAATGACGATCAGTGGCATGTTATCATATTCCGGACGGATTGAAATACTCAATAGGAAGAATTAAAAACAAAAGAAAGAAAATGAAAACGTTTGATCTGTTGGTAGTAGGTTTAAAAGTTATGATAAGAGTGGACTTTTGAACATGATCATCAACGGATTGAATGAATAGAAATCTCAATAAGAAAATATTATATGAATATAATCTTGTTAATTTATTCATTAGCGTAAATTGGTACTTTGATTAAATAGCACAATGAACGCTTAGGATTCCAATTAACAAGATGCAAAACAAATGCAGCGATTACAGTAGAATAAAATCATTTTAATGCTGGACTGGACCAGAAATACAACTTTGACTAAATAGTTTATTTCTTTTCTGGAACTGTAGTCAAATAGATAAAGGTAAATGATAATTAGGAAGTATATGTTAGATAAGGATAAAATTATGGGAAATATATACATTATAGAAAAAATGATAAAAAAAAGGAAAATTTAAGAATACATTTTATAAGAATAATAAAAGATAAACGTAATGAATAAAGGAATTATGATTGGTATTATTAACATGGTGTTGGGAAAATACATAATAATATAATATATATTGTGAGAGTACAGAGCCTTTTTAGGGCTCCGCAAACCACCCACAACTTGAGGGAAACACTCAAGTTGTGAAATACGAGCCGCGCCGCTCGACAAGCCTAAGATTGTTGTGGTGGAACTCGTAGGTTTTAACACCATATGGGGTAATGAAACGCCATTTAATAAATAAATAATGAAAAACTGAAATTTAAGGTAACAAGAATAATAATAATTTGTATTAAACAATAAACATGATAATAAATAATAATAATGATAAGATATAACTCCCGCACACAATGGTTGAATAATTTTGACATACATTTTGAAATAATTATTGTTTTGACACATGGCAGTTATAGGAATATAATAATTATGAGGTAAATAATGATTTGGCGCACACGACTAGTGCGTTATAATATATGCGTAATAATTAGCGAAATGCAGGTCGGCCCACGAGGCCCGCCATCACCTACGGTGATTTTAATAATAATATAAAAATGATGAGAATATGGCCACCGTTGGGTTACCGCCTGAGATATCGCGTAGGAAACAAAAATGATAATTAACAGAAACACATTACAGACTACAGTCATCAATGAGAGGGACATGGGGGGGAATATTACATTGATACGTTACAGGTCTTGAGATGTGGTCCTTTTGACAGCGGGACGGCTGGGCTGAGTAGCCACCAACACACACGCGGTTGGCGTCAACCGTCTTGCTGTCAAAAACGAGAGTTGAACGGATATCTGGCCACCAGTAGGTCCGTGGAGGATCTTAGCCCATCATATTGTTTGGTACGGCCTCGAGAATAATAATAATGATCCGAAGTTGACGCGAGTCGGAAGTGGTTGAGTCGAGAGACGTGATTGACAAACCGTTGTGTCGGCTCAGAGGTCGGTAAAAATGTAACGAGACGATGGTCGGTGGTGTCCAGCCGCTGGTTGTAGACGTCGCGGTCGTCTTGTGAGAGTGGGATAGGTCAGTATTAGTCCTGAGCATTATTTTGATCAATCCGGATTACGGATTACAATTATTTAATCCGAATTTCGGATCAATCCGTTTTATCCGGATTCACGGATTCAATCCATCTACTCGGATTTCGGATCCAATCCATTGATTCGGATTTCAGATCCAATCCGGCTTAATTGTTTTTGAGATAATCAAATTTTTTTCATTAGTATCTAATATGTATATATATATATATATATATACTATCTAGTAGATAGTATCTACCTAAATAATACGAATATACGATCTCATTTTTTTTCGAGTTTTTCACAATTTATTATTAGATTTTCGTATATTTTTGTTTATGTAGTTTGTACTTATGTATTTCTGTTCCTCATTACCCTTTGAGGGTGCTACCTAATAATAATAATAATAATAATAATATCTGTATTGTAAATATTAAATAATACTAAAAAAAAATATATACACCAAGACTAAATTATGATTCCAAATTTAGCTTTAAACTTTACTCTAAAAATCAAAAAGTGATAGAAGTATGAAGTTGAAAACTTGTTCAAGTTGTCACGTTTGATAGAAAATTGTTTATTACATCTTAGTATATTTAAACTTGTAGAAATTCAGGACATTATATAATTATACATTATACATCTTACATCATACAATAGTCAACAACAAATAAAATAATATATAAATTATAATTTAGCATTATGTGAAAGAAATATTAACGACTTGGCTGTTTCACCAGCCAGACAATTTCTTTTTGAAGTTATAATGTTTCCTGCAGTGGAAAAAGCTCTTTCAGATAAAGTAGATGTTGACGGTATACACAAATATTTTTTGGCTAGTTTTGAAATCATTGGGTATCTTAAAGGGTAGTAATTGGGACAATTGGGTAGTTAAATACATATTTTGTGGGTAATATTAAAGATTTTAGATAAATATAAAAAAATTGTTTTCAAATCGTGTTATAAAGGTGCCTGTACACTGTAGATTTTTCCTCGTAGAGTTACTCTAGCTAGAGCTCTCTAGATTTAGACTATACTCTGTTCAAAATAAGACGATGACCCGGCGGCCGAGTTGTGCGCATGGGCGTGGCTTTTGTTCTATAGTAGCACCAAACGCGACTCCGCCGACGGGAGCACCAATTAGTCTAGTATCGACTGTTGATGAGTTAAAATAATTTAAAATACATTATGCGTTTTGTTTGTATGTCTCTGCCGCGGTCGCCAGGCGGTTTACGAACACTGTAATATAATATTTTAATGTATATTTTTTATCATATACTTAGACCATGATATTAAGTAAACATAATTGAAATATTAATTTGTTTATTAACAATAGGGTAATATAAATATAAAAAAAAAATACGTATACGTAATTCATAAATTAAAACTATTTTTGTTTATATTATTTTTTAAACACAATATAATTGTATTTAATATATATATTATAAATCTCTAAAACGATCGTCAAAATAATTATCACAAATGTGTATACAAAATAAATTACATAATAAATTAAAACAATTTTTACAAATTATATACAATTAAAAATCGGAAGAATCGGAAGTCTCGCCTGTTATTGTGAGTACGCAGGGTTCCAAGTTGTCAATAATTTCGTCCATATTTCGGTCGACTTCGGTCATTTTCTCCTCCTCCTTTATCACGTGTTGAATGAAATTTTGCCAGTTTTCACTGGTAACACGTTCAATTGCAGTGTTTAAGAGAACTCTAACGTCATCAATTTTGAATGTCTTATTATTTTGTTTAACATAGGTTTTCACCATTGCCCATGCTAATTCAATTGGGTTTAGCTCACAGTGGTAAGGTGGTAATCTTAATACTGTGTGCCCGGCGTCTTTTGCCATGTTGTCGACAACATATGACGTATACTTGGATTTTATTTCTCTGACCTTTGTGAGCAATTGTGGTTTAAACATTGGCCTATCAATAACAACACCTTTTGATTTCAACCACAATAAAATGTCGTCCTTTTTTGATGAAGATGTCGGTATTTTTTCAGTCTTTACTGAATGGTATGGGGCGTTGTCCATCACAATGACCGAGTTTTGTTCGAGACGAGGAATTATTGACTGAAACCATTCATGAAAATGGTCACCATTCATTTCATCATGATAATCGCCACTATTTTTCTTCGACAGAAAACATAAAAGGCCACCTTCTAAAAAGCCTTTATGCGACCCAATGTGCAACACAATCAATCGTTTACCCGTACCTGTCGGGTTCGTCGCACCAGTTGTCAGACCTCTGTTGAACGCATCATGTTTTGACTGAATGGTTTTGTCGACCCATAATTTCTCAACACAATCACCTGCATTTACCCAGGTTTCGTCAAGGTAGTATACCGTGCGACCTTCTTCTCGGTATTTACGAATGTCGTAGATGTAGTTTTGACGCCAAACAAGCAAGTCTTCCCTCTCTGTTAAAACGCTGCATCTCTTCCTTTTAGTGAAGACGAAGTCTAATTTTTTTATAATTGTATACAACGTGGTACGTTTGTAATTGGGAAGCGCTGGATCGTCATTCACTGCTTCCAAAATTTTGTCGATCGTAGGTAATTCTTTTCTTAACCAAAAACTATGTACCTTTTGACGTAACGCATTTCGATCTAAATCGTCAATCTTTTCGAACAGGCACTTCTTACTGCGTTTCTTATCAGGAGATTTGACACTTCCGGTAGTCTTATATTCAGAAATGATTTTACGCACTGAATTCAAGCCAATGCCCAATGTTTTCGAAATTTCAGCCATCATTATCTTGTACTGCATATCTGGGTTTTTCATTGTTAAGTCCTTGTATAAATTGACAATCATCATTTTTTGACGACTCAGTATCACCTAAAATTAAAATAAAAAATATTTTAAAAAAAGTTCGGTAAGTGGATGTCGCTCTGCTGTACAGTAGGTTACAAGTGGGTCACTGTAATGGATTAAATGAATATACTATCATTGTATAAGAAAAACGATTCTGAGCGAAAACGGTCAGTCAGCCTATGATATTACCAAGTATATTGAATGATATTATTGTAAATAAAGTAGTTTATATATAACCTATTTACGTGGAACCTTGTTTTAAATTTTCAATCCTTAGCTATAAAGTTGAAAATTTTATAAATTTTTAAATACAAAATAATTATTCAATTTTAAATTTGATAAATTTTGTCAAAATTTGATCTTTAAATGCTTATAAAAAAAATGTTGCCTATGTATTTTTATAATTTATGAATGGGAGTTAGAACAACTTATGTGGACCCTTCTATTAAATTTTCAAGTATTTTGTCCCAGCTAAATTTTTTTTATTAACATTTATAAAAAAAAAATCAAAGAAAATCGATTATTTCAAATGCCTATAAATAGATTAAAAATTAGTGAAATATTTTGAAAATAAAACTGTATAAAGAAAATGTAAATTTAAACAACTGGTAAAATTTTCAAGTTTCTACGACTTATACTTTTTGAATAATAACAAATATCAAAAATCGTTTGGGGCTAAACCGTTATTTAACGCGGTTTTGTAAAAATTTAACTTTCAAACACTCCTAAAAATTTTTTGTCTTAGTCCGGTAGAGTTTTTTTTACAGATATTTAAAGAAAAACTTATGGAGAACCTTGTACCAAATTTTAAAAACTTAGTTCTAAAAGAAAAAAATTTTATGATTTTTCAACCACAAAATTACTTGCAAATTTTCGCAATTTTGACATACTTCGTATAAATTTGAACTTTAAGCACTTATAAAAAAAAATTGTGACTAACGATTTTGGATTTTTTTTTATCACTATGAGAACAACTTATAAGAAACCTTGTATTAAATTTTCAAAATTTTCTAGTCAACCAAAAAATTTTTATCGTTATTTAAAAAAAAATACTTAGAAAAATTGAAAATTTCAATTGTCTACTCACATTTCCTGGTACATTTATTCTTTTTGGTGAAATAGTATCGTCCATATTCTCCATTTCAGGAACCTCATCTAAACGATCACTCATTGTAAATTGATTTACGTAAAATTTGTAAACAACGTAATAAAAAAAATAAAAAAATAGTATGGTATAGTTATTACACAGAGACAAATATAAGCAAATACGGTGGTGTTACAACAGAGATCACAGCACAAATGCGTTGTATCAGTGAAATACTGAAATGTACAATGTAAGATAGTGCTGCCGACGCACATCCTGCAGGGGGATATCAAGCAGGTGTTCTTTTAGTTGTTCTTTTTGTCCTCTAAGGGACGCACATTCCAATAAAACCCACCAAATAATGCACAACGCACATACGCACATTCGCCAGCGCCGTATGCATGACGCACGCACGCACATCCACTTCACGCGGCGTGCACATCCCACCAGAGCCTCGGTCACGTGATCGATGCTCATGGGTGGAGTCTGACCGCCGCCCGACAAAAACTGGTCGCCGCCGGGTCATCGTCTTATTTTGAACAGAGTATAGAAGTGTACACAACATATAGAGCGCTCTAGCGGTTGCCTCTCTAGGATCTAGGTAGACTAACTAGAGTAGACGTAAATCTACTATGTACACGGAAATAAACACTATAGCTAGATCAGTCTAGATCTATTTGTTCAGTTGAATAGACCAAATAGAGCACGTGGAAATATTGAACAGTGTTTTCGATATTGTTTTGTTTTTTAAATTTTTGTAAATTTTCTTTTGCATTTATTTGTACAATGGCCGATGTTGTGTGGGACAAGCAAAAAACTTATAAACTAATTGAGCTTATTGAATCGTCTCCTGAACTGTGGAATTGTACACTGAAGGAATACAGAGACAGGCAGCTAAAGGCAAAATGTATGGAAACAATTGCTCAAAAATTGGAAATGAGTTCTGCAGAAGTTGGTAGAAAATTACACAATCTTAGGTGCCAAATGAACAGTGAACTACGAAAGATAAAAAATAAGAAGAGTGGAGCAGGTGCAGATGAGACCGTGAAAAGCTCTTGGGAGTTTTTCGATTCACTGAAATTCATGACTGGCATTTCTGAATGTGTGAAGACTGTCGGAACAGTACCAAATGCATTTGTAAGTTACTTATTTTATTATTAAAATAGGTTTATTACTTGGTAATGTACTGAATCACTATCACAATTATTTTAAAATTAAAAACAAATAATAATGGAAAAACTAATAATAGATTTTTATATAATATTATTATAATAATTATATTATATATAATATTATATCGGCCGGTGGCGACGCGATATAAATATTTATATTTATATATAGGTACATAAATGATAACTTGTTGAAGTCAACACTATTAATAAATTGTTATATATACACTTACAATACCTATACGATGTTATATATATACAATTTAGTATTTTTATTTAGCATTTTATAATATTTAAAATTAAAATAATAAATACTAATACATTTTTTGAATACCTCATTGTCTATATTATGCAATAAGTTCTGTTCTTCACTGCCATATTCATATTAATCAAATATTAAACTTAGATCTATTTCAAAAAAAGACTTAAAAATCTTAACTTTAAAAAATTGAAAACTTTTTATGATAAATGTACTTAGTTGTTTTTTTAAACTCTTTAAATACTACTTAAATATATTGATATTGCCATGTCAGTTCTCCTTCTGTGGACATAAAGTAAGTTATGAACTTTTCACGTACTTCCTTAGCAGTAGAACTTGCATTTCTTTGTACAATTATTTGATGCATTGAGTGTAGTGCGTTTTGTGGAGTTCCTTCTTCTCTCCAACTACCAGGAATAAAACCACTTTGCTCTTCTCTATCAAATGTTCCGGGGGGTGCGTAACTATAAGCTTTCCGGGATAGTAAATAATTGTGTAAACAACAAGTGGCAAGCACAATCTTTGTGGTTTTTTCTGGATCCAACTCTATAGGTTTTCTTAGTACACGAAACCGAACAGAAAGCAAACCAAACGCGTTCTCCACAACTCTGCGAGCACGAGAAAGTCTAAAATTAAAAATTCGATTTGGCCCGGGTTGATTTTGAAAAGGAAACGGTTTCATTAAGTATGTTTTTAAAGGAAAAGCATCGTCAGCAACGATAACAAATGGTACTGAATCTGACTGTCCACGTAAAGGTTTTGGTTGAAGTATATTCAAAGTATTATTTTCGAGAGCTTTTGACAATGAACAATTTGCAAATACACCACCATCTGAAATACGGCCGTTACATCCCACATCAACATACAAAAATTTATAAGGCACCAACAAGAGCCATTAACACAATGCTGTGTGTCCCTTTGTAATTAAAGTAAACGCTTCCACTATTCATTGGTGCTTTCATCACTACATGTTTACCATCGAGTGCCCCAATACAATTAGGGAAATTCCAATTTTCATAAAAACGTTGTGTTTCCTTTTCCCACTCATTAGATGTAGACGGAATCTGCAATTAGTAAGCGATTTTTTAGTTAAACTTTTGTAACTTGTATCTTGTTATTAGATTTTTAACTATGTATAATATAATAACACCGAGCAAGACAAATAGTATATAATATTATAATAAATAAAAAAAATTATACATGTAGCGCTAAGGTCTATAAATTATAAATACAAAAGTTATACCAAAAGTTTGTTCTATCAGTTAGTTGTTACACTCAGTACATACTCGTATACATAAACATTTTACTTGAATAGTTTATTGATAAACTTGCCCATGCCCTAAACCAAACTGCTACTTTTTTTAGGTTTGTGATAATGAGAAAGCTAGTGAAGTCGTTATGTCTCAAGCTGAAGGAGAATCATCACACGAGACATTTACAGCTTCGATTACTGCTGACAATTCATCGAAGAAAAGTAAGAAAAAAAAACTAAATAAGGGAAATGAACCAAGATCTATGATAATCGAAGATGACGAAGAGTTATTCAAAGAAGCTATGTCTGTGTTACGAGCGCCTCCGAGTGATGAATTTGATGTTTTTGGAAATTACGTTGCTGTGGAGTTACGACAACTCCGTTCTGAAGAACGAAGAAGACGATTGAAGCGCATAATACAGAGAGCTATCATTGATATGGGAGAAGAGGAAGACAGATGTGAAAAAATTGGTTCTACATGTTCATCTGGAAATTATTCTGATACCGTCTCTGACTGGGCATCATCTAGTGGTTTTTCTAATCAAAATCCACATGACAACTTAATAACTCTTTCTAATTTATTATCAATTCCTCAACAATTAGCGAGTGATAGTTCTAATTTGTCAACTTTCTATGAAAACTATAATCCTAAGTAAAATTACTAACCTTCAGATAGTCTCGTTTCAGTTCTTCAAACAACGCCTGACAAACTTCTGGCACAATTCGGCTTATAGTTGTCGGAGGAATAAGAAACAAAAAACTCAAAGACTGGTAACTGTCACCTACGTTAAAACAAGTAGCATATTTCATTAATTAAATATGATATAAATTTTATTTTATTTTAATATTTATTTTTATCTCATTTCTAATATAAAATGTATTGAAAGTTATAATATGTTATTTTATTAATTTATGATGTTAAAATTATTCTATAATAAAAAGATACAGAAATAAGCAAAATAAAATATATACATTTTTTTATTTATCAAACCGTTTGCCTGTGGCAAGAAACCTCAACGTCAATGTTAGTCGTTCTGAAGGTGAAATTGCTTTTCGGAGGTGAGTATCTTGTTTTATAATTTTCGGTGTAATTATTTCTAAAAGATTCTGGTAATCATTATTTGACATTCGTATGAAATTTTCATACGAAGTGGTATCTTCTGCACTCATTTCTTTCAGTAACTTTGCGTGCACTCCTTCGTCATCTCTTTTTGATATCCAATTTCTCACCCACAACCTCTTCGTTTTTTTCGATTTTATTTTCTGTTTTTTTTAATCAATAAACACACTATAGTTGCAGCTGCAACGCGTTTGCGGTCCGACATTTTTCTTAAAAAAAAGAAAACGAACTAACAGCCAAAATGCTCTATCAATAACTATCTAGACTATCAAGTTGTTGACTAATGTACATGAGCCGTAGACTTATCTAGGTAGATTTGATCTATGCAATCTCTATAGACTGCTCTAATAGAGCACATTTCACTCTAGTGTAAACACACTTCTAGTGCAGTCTAGCTAGAGCGATCTAAATCTAGCTGTATTTATCTCTACAGTGTACAGGTACCTTAATAATTTGTATCATAATCCGGATTAGTATATTTAATCCGGATTAAACGGATTGCAACATCTGTCTCAATCCGGATCGGTAATCCGGATTTTGTGCTCAGCACTAGTCAGTATCGCATGATCAGGGGTATTGACAATTAGGAACTGAACCAATATGAAAATATTGGATAAAAATGTATACACTGTGGTTACTATAGTATACTATTAATGTAAATGAAAAAAAAATTTTTTTCTCCAACAACACGAGTTTTTAAGTACTTTGTAAGTGCGCGTGGCTTAGATTTTCAAATATTCATATTTTCCCGCGCTTATAATAATTTATTAATATTATAATTTGTATTACTACATGAGTATTAATACACGAGTAGTATAAATGTTTATAATATTATTAGGTACATATTTATTAGTATTACCAATAATAATAATACAATATTATCGAATTATCACTTTATTTTTAAGTTTTCATTATTTGAACTTCGTATCTTTGATCAACATATTATTTCGCACATTTTAATTCATAAATATGCCAAGGGACTCAAAATACAAATATTGTTTTGTACCGAAGTGTACAAACACTTCGACAAAATGCCCTAATAAACGATTTTTGAGCGTTCCTTATGATGCTAAATGGAGATTATTGTGGTTTAAAGCAGCAAGACGTAATGATACCGCAAAATCTAAAACACATCATGATTGTTGTGAAGATCATTTTGTTGTAAGTAATTTTTATAGAGAGAATTAATTAGAATTAAAATATTTGTCTTTTTAAACCAGAATCTTAAATAGAATAATTTTTTTTTCAGTTAGAAGACGATTTAGATAATTTTGTTCAATTTAAGCTTATGGGAGCATCAATACTTAAACTGAAGAAAAATATTGTACCACATATTTTTGATTGTCAGGTTGATCGTAAGCAAGCATCAACATCAAACCCTCGACCATTGCATAGTAAAAGAATCCGAAAAAATAACATTGATACCGCTATACAAAATCAATCTTGTATGACAGAAGGTACCTATACATTTTTCAAGTTAATAATATGTTATGTATTTTTTTTATTTTTAATGATAGGTACATAATTAAAATGTTTAGAACATACTGATACAGTTATACCTGATGCTGAAATAATAACTGAAGATTTCCAACAGTCTGATAAACAAACAAAAGAAATTGGTGTACAAGTAAATTTAACACGTTGACCGCCATGAGTTCTCTTACGAGATCTCACTAAACTTTGTCCTCGCCGCCACGTGGTTTTTCATAGGTTTACTCAAATTTTTTTTTGGACAAAACATTGTCTGATTTTATTCAAAATTTGTACTTATATTCATAATTGTTTTGTTAAAACATTTGTTTAGGTTATAACTTAATATAAGCCGAGATCTCAAATTAGATCTCATGGCCGTAGGATGTCACCATTTGAAAAATTAATGTTTTGACCATCAGCCTGAGATCTCAAACTAAATCTCATTATGAAAAAGCACTTTAATTGAGACTTAAAATTAAATCTCAAATAAATATTTATTTATTTTATAAAATAATACATTATTTGAACAATAAGGAACAATATATTAATATGAAAACAATCTCTGGTTTTTTAGTCTTTTATCCTATAAATTTCAAAATAAAAAGCATATATGTAACTTTTTTATGATAAAAATGATATTACAAACAAAAAACTTAACTTGAAAACTTTTTTTTAAAATCTCAAATAGGTATTTATTTATTGAATCAAATACATTATTTTAGTTATAAAGGAATTATACAAAAACAATGTGAATACAATTTATGTTGCCTTTATTCCTATAAATTGCATAATTATAACAAAACATTTATATGATAAAAACATAATTATATGAAAAACAAAACTTTTAACTTTTTATGATGAATAGTAACATTATATATAAAAACAATC